CATAAAGTTGTTAACTGAGTGCAATGACATCGATAATGAAGAAAACACCAACTTTTCCCGCGAACAGAAGTCACCGTCAACATGGCTGATAAAGGAAAATCTAAGCGGCATTTAAATGAATCAAATTCCGACTTTTCCCCGAGAGGAAAAGTCAATTCAAGAATTACCCAACGGATGTCCCGACTCCAGTTAAGAGCCATCAGACATAGAGACTACAAAAGAATGCATGAAGGAAAGTCATCAGAGGATGAGCTCTCAGACACTTGTTCTGCGATCGCTTCGGATGATACAGTATCTAGCACAGGGCAAACCAGAGAAGTACTCACAATCACCTCTGATCAATTCGCTCAAATACTTCAAGAAGCTCTAGCGAAGCAACGTGAAGAAATTAGAGCTGAGATGAAGACAGAGATGGAGTTAGCTATCCAACAAATAAGAGAATTGCTAACTTAACGGCCTCAATCTCCTGAGTCCAGTCAGCGAGCTGAATCCAGCCGCCACACTCAGAATATTGTAGATGACAGTGATCCAGAAGTGGATGAAGTCATTATGGCTGATACACCTCCCAATAGCAACAACGCTGGGGGTGGTTTAACACATCCTCCCAATGACGATATTGGGGGTGGTTCAATGGAACCTCTTACAGGGGGTGGTCTAACTCATTCTCCTCAACGTCCTTCGAATGAAGACATAGACGATGACGAAGGGGGTGGTCTAACTCATTCTCCTCAACGTCCTTCGAATGAAGACATAGACGATGACGAGAAAATGAAGGAGCTTGAAAACAAAATCAACGCTTTGATGACGGCTCAAGAGGTGAAGAAGACGGGTATTCCATGTCCCTATCCAAAAGAATATGATTCAATACCATACCCGGTAAAATTCAATTTGATTAACTTCACACCGTTTGACGGGAAGAGCTCGCCTACTCAACACTTGATTTATTTCAAGTCTCATTTGGGCATGATTTCTGGAAATGAGGCTTTAATGATCCGGTCATTCGTTGGCACCCTTCGTGGGCCCGCCTTCGATTGGTACCGACGTCTCAAGCCAGGGAGCATCAATTGCTGGGATAACATGGAAAGTTTATTCCTCAGTAATTTCTTCGATGATGACACCGAAGTGTCAATCGGAATCCTTCTGGATGAGAAGCAAAAAATACGGAGAGTTAGTCGACAATTTTGTCAAGCGCTTCCGTAACAAGGTAATGAATTGCAGAGATCCTGTTACAGAGGAGTTCATCCTGCAAACATGCCACAATAATCTCTCTATCGATGTCCTGGAAGCCCTGGGGGTCGTACCATCTAAAACTTGAAAAGATTTAAAAATACGCGGCGAACAAGCTGAACACTTTCTTAAAAGAAAGAAAGCTGAAAGAAGCCGATCAACGACATCTGCAATTGCTGGGAACGTGACTCTCGATCCGAGGTTTCAAAAGGAGTATTCTTTCGAAAATGATGAAGCTCCAGCCATATTGAAATACCTCCTCGCCAATGACAAAATCGAGCTACCGCCTATTAAAGATTAGGAGGGTGCTAAGATGATTACAGATCCAAACTACTGTGCATACCACAGAAGGGTTCTTCATCCCACCGAGATTTGCTTTGGACTCAAAAACAAAATCCAAGCCCTAATTGACACCGGCGTCATAACGGCGAAACAAGCCAATTAAAGACGACTTTACTCCATTGGATACACGAGTATAAACTGTTTCTCCAAACTCCATTGGATACACGAGTATAAACTGTTTTCCCCTCACTCCGAAGAGTATACGAGTATAAACTGCTTCTCAACACTCCAAAGAGTATACGAGTATAAACTGCTCCTCGATACTTCAATAGGTGTATGAGTCTAAACTATTTCCCACTCTTGACGGGAAGTTCCTGGAGAATTTTTACATTCTTAAGGATAACCCGGTCATGTAACTCAGTATGATGTTAGACCCAGTTTCGCAAAGGAAGCTGGGGGTGGATGGTTCATGTAACGGGAAGTTCTCGGAAGAATGCTATATGTAATTTTCTTAGAGATAACCCGATCATTACAAACAAAGTGATAAACACTACATCCCCACGATGATTTTCGAATACTCTTTTGCTGAGGTGAGATTCGATCACTTCGTTGGATCAATCTTCCCTCACAAAATTCTCTCTTGGTCAAACCTTTAAATAGTTAGGACCAAAGCCAAAATCCCCTCTCGATTCCTTCCATGAACGAGAGGTCCACAAATCGAATGATCAAACCTTTAAACAGTCAGGATCGCCTCAAAACTCCCACTTGGTCAAACCTTACTGCAGTCAGGATCATAACCAAAATCCCCTTTCGATTCATTTCATGAACGAGAGGTCTACTTTTGAATTGAATAATCAAACCCTATGACAGTCAGGATTATTCAAACCAGTCCAGATTCTCTAAGTGGAGATCCCACTTTGAGTTTCTTTTGCACCAGGAGATAGGATATAAAATTCTTCCCCTCTAATTTTGGGTTTATCTCTACCAACAAACAAGAGACCAGGAGATAGAATATAAAATTCTTCCTCTCCATCATCGGGTTCATCTCTACCAACAAACAAGAGACCAGGAGATCGAATATAAAATTTTTCCTCTCCATCATCGGGTTCACCTCTACCAACA